TATCTGGCTCGCGTTTTTTATCGGTCCTGTGGCGCAATGGATAACGCGTCTGACTACGGATCAGAAGATTCCAGGTTCGACTCCTGGCAGGATCGAAGCTAAGTAAATTTTTTTTTTCCTAAATATATGTATAAATACAGGCACAAATTTGCAACGTGATGAAGACGTATCTGACCTTTGATAATATGATTAGCATCTACGCAAACTACTCGCTCAATTTTAAAGGTATCTGCATGGTTATTTTGCAAAAGTTGGAACTGGGCGATTGAAAACTAAAAGTAAAAATATCTTAAGTCTGGCGTATAGAATTTATTATAGTTCTCTAACTTAAAATTTAAAATTTACACCAATAAGACAACATTTATACATCTGCAATAAAAACGATCGGCAAACAGCTGGAAATAGAGTTATGTATGTAAATATGTAACTCAACTGTATTGTAAACGAGGTCAAGTTTTACGATATGCTATATTTAATAAAACATTATTAATTGAAAATACCAGTTAGGCGCGCGTAATTTCATCGGTCCTGTGGCGCAATGGATAACGCGTCTGACTACGGATCAGAAGATTCCAGGTTCGACTCCTGGCAGGATCGGAATTATACTTTTTTTTATGTTTTCTTTTTTATAATTTTTTTTTAATACTGAATCAAAAAAAATTGTTTGGTGTAGAAATTATATCAATAAATTGTACCTACAAATATTATGAACTTAATTTAATTTTGATCAAGTTGATAGAACTTTAATTTTAGATTATTGATATATGTATATCAGCTTTCTCATGTGGTATATACAAATTTGCATTTTAAATACATTTAAGATGCGGTAAATTTCCATTCTTATCTCAACCGCACTATTGAATTTATTTATAGCTTTGACATGTTTTGAATTCTTTCGCTGCTTGCTTGCCTTCATGTGGATGTTTTACCACGCTTTGATCACCGCCTCCGTGGCGCAATTGGTTAGCGCGTTCGGCTGTTAACCGAAAGGTTGGTGGTTCGAGTCCACCCGGGGGCGAATTCTTTTTTTCTCAGTTAAACATTTTTTTTATTGTTAAATATGTCATTTGGTATTTAGCTTTCCAAATTACTAAATTTAAATTGAATTTTAATTGGGCTTATTAATTTATAACTAGAATCTCTTTTCTAAAAGCGAATCTCTTGTTCGTTACACCTTTTTACAACCCATATCTGCAACTGCTGCAACGTGTAAACCCCAAAGAGCCCGATGCCTAAGATCTGAGGCTCTGGTGTCTGTGAGTCTGCGTCTGCATCTGCGTCTAACAATGGCCACACTGCAGCGGGTTTGGGCCCAGTCAGAGTCTGGGGCTTAGTTACTTAGTTAGTGCTCCAGCTGGGGGATCTCTGGGCTAGCTATTCTGCCCCCACCGCCAGCCAGCTGTATCCCCCTGGTGCATTGCATAAGAGAAATATTTGTGCAATTTGATTTCGCAGAATTGCGAATTCACTGGAATGAATTCCCTTTTCCCCCGCCCCATTTTGGATGGCGGCTTATGCGCATTATGATTATGATGATACCTTTTGCCGCTCTTTGTTTGCCAGTGCCGTTTGTTGTTTGCTGTTACTAGTGTTGTTTTCGCCTTGTTTGCTGGTTTGTTAGCCGCTCGCCGCGATTATGCTTGAAATTCTATGCACTTTTTCGCAGTCAGCAGTCCCCCCGCCAGTCATGATCTGAGGGCAACTGAGGGAAATTCTGCGGAAAAAGCATTTTCTTTCTTTGCCAAGGGAGCGAACCGCAGGCCGACGAGATCAACATGGTCCGATTGTGTTTGCAATCATTACAAACGACGACCACGACCAGGAAAGCGGATCAGTTTTGATTGGTCGGTGCACAGTTCGGGCAATTTGTTAAGGGCACCCCCTACTACTCACCCCATAAACTGGGTTCTTTAATTAAAAAGATGTAAAAGAGACACTGGCAAACATTTAAAATTACATTATGAATTTGGGTCGCACATAAACAGCTGGGGGGGAGTGCTATTTTGTACACCCTGCTACCAAAAAATGTTCTCAAATATGAATGCAGTTAACAAGGTACAGTGAAACTTGTAAGCCTTATAACATCATATTATGAAATTTTATTTTTAGGCATTCTTACACAGAGAAAATTTAGACGTTCTCATCTGAGTTGAAAATGTGCTTAAAATTAAAACGACATTTTTTAAGTTGAAAATGTTTTCATTTCGCTCGAATCAAGTTGAATTGGCGGTATTTACATTGTATATCTCAACAAATAAACTATTAGTCCAGTCAGTAGTGTATACTTATCAAAAAGTTGCTAAATAAACTCGATTTATCTTTTCTCTTCTCAGCATTTCGTCCTAATATTGAGAGCATTGATCCCAAAATGTGCTTACACGGTTTTTAAGAACGAATGTTCTCAATTCAAGAACAATGTACTTGAATATTTCTGTCTGTGCAATAAAATAAATGTTATTGAAAAAAAATTTTTATAATAATAAGATCTACCAACTTGAGTGTTGTTAAAATGTATTTAGAACTTTTTGAAACCAAAGATTTTTTTAGATTATGTAGAACAAATTAGTTTTTAATCATAAACCTAAGAATACCCATATAAACAAGTTTGTGTTATTAAAGTTGCCCTGTATTTCCTTGTAATTTTAATGCAAGTATGGGACACTCAAGGTCTCTAGAACAGACCACCCTCCCTTTGCACCCCCTCCATTTTAGGCGACAAATTTTGGTGTGTGTATGTGTGGAAACACGCCCCTGTGGCACACGAAAATGAAAATGAAATGAAATGGAAAACGCGGAGAGGCCAAAAACGAGAAGTGACCAGAGAACTGGACCCTGGGCAAGCTGCTAGGAAAATGAGACGCTTATCTAAATCTTCATAGTTGGCTAAGCGCGGCACTACCCCCTTTCCCCTCACCCTTCCGCCCCCTCTTGGTTTTGGGTTCCCTTTCGTTCGTTTTTAATTGCAGCCGAAACGTGAGCGAAATGTAACCAAAAATGCAATTGTGGTAGGAAACCGGGACTGCAACGTTTCCTTCAGCGTTCTTTATTTCATTTAGTTTTTTCCTTTTTTTTTTTTTGGTCATTCCGTTGGCTAGTTAATCGCGCGCATTCGTGCAGCATTCCTCTGGTTCGGGGCTTCCCCTTCTCCAGAACGCCATCCCTAATGAAGAAGGTTCCCTCTTTGGATCCGGCCAGTGGCCAGAGGCCCGACATTTGTCATCGAAACATGTAATTATGCCACTTTGCGTCAGGTTACGAGGAGAAACATTTACCTTACGCACATCTAACAGGGAGAAATGGTAAAATAATATGAGGAGCCCTTTTGGGACAGACCAAAAGACCTTGACCTTTACCTTTAATACATTATAAATTTGTTTGCCAGCTTGCTATAGTGCATTCCAATGGTTTGTTACGTAGATAAAGTATTTAATTAAGAACAGTAATAAGTTTAGGGGCCATTTCGCATTAAAAAATATGGTAATATATGGTATTGCTTAAGTAAGTAATTTATTGGTGATATTATTGGTGACTTAATATTATATCTTCAATGGGTGATCTGTAACGATTGAGTCTATAAACTAAATATATATTGTAAAATCATTTATCTCTCAAATATTTGATTTTATTGGTGATATTATTGGTGATTATATATTATATCTTCAATGGAGTAATCTTTATACGATTCAATAAACTAATCCGCTAAATAAATATTGTAAAATCATTTATCTCTCAAATATTTAATTTTATTGATGATATCATTGGTAATTTAATATTATATCTTCCATGGAGTAATCTTTATACGATTGGGTCTATAAACTAAGCCGGCAAAATATATATTGTAAAATCCTAATATCTCAAATATTTGATTTTATTGGTGATAATATTAGTATTTACATATATCTTCAATGGAGTAATCTTTATACGAAACCAAATCGCTAAATATGTATTGTAAAATCATGTATCTCTCAAACATTTGATTTTATTGTGTATTGGTGATTTAATATTGTATCTTCAATGGTGTAATCTTTATACGATTGGCTCTATAAAAAAACCGCTAAATATATATTGCAAACTCATTTATCTCTCAAAATAAAGTGGTTTACATCAAAGATCTCGGCTTGATAGGTCTTGGCAAACTGTTGCAGAAGCAGGCCTTTTCCTCCATCCCCTCCCCATTCAGGTATTAATAACGAGTATTAGCATGTTACTTAATCACAGCAACCATCTAAAATACGTGTAATTCCCGGACGAGGCATCTTTCTCCCACAGGCCGCAGCCACATCCGAACACTTGGCACCGCGTTGCAGGCAAATGGGACTGCATAATTGTCGCCTCACGTGCAACTCGGGCATTTCATTCTTTTTAGTTTTTTCTGCTTGAGCATTTAGGGTTTCAGCACCCAAAAAGCTGTCATTCGCCAAACACACAAACCCCGCACATGTCAATTAAGTGGGCGAGTGAACCCGAACCCGAGCCCAAAGTTTTGCGTCGCAGGCGACATGCGAAGTTGCAGCCAAAGATCTGCAAAGAGCCCAGAATGACAATGGCCTCAATTAGGCCAGTAATAAGCCATAAAAGCACTGAGTACCCCCCCCCACCCTTTTCGGCCTTATAAAACCCCTCACGCGATGGCCGTCATTATACCCGGGGTACTTCGCAAACACCAGAACTCACGGCCCAGGTTTATAGTTCTTCAAGTTTATAGTTCCTCCGGCCGTAATTCTGATCTCTAACTCAATTACACAGCTGAATAGCTGAGTAAAAAATCCAATTGCCAGAACTCGAGCAGCATAAATCCAAGAAAATACAAGGAAAATCCTTGGAATTGATGGGCGATTTGTGGGCGGAAGGGGTGAAATGTCCAGCCGAGTGTCCAGCTTTCGGTTTTCAGCGATAAACAAACATAAAAAGTAAACGTCATTCGCATCGCTTCTTCACAGTTCAATTCTTATTTACACAGCAACAACAAGGAGCCATATAAGAAGGAAAGATATATCCCAAAGACCCCAGGATGATATACAGTGGAGCTTTATTGGGGTGCGATAGAAAAAAAACTGAGTTAGGAACTTTAAGAATAAATCAAATGACAATAAATATTAGTATACTAAATTTGATATTATTGGGTTTCTGAGAACAAATTGAATTTGATTTAAGAACCACGTGCTAAATGTATAACATTTCGATCTTGTTTTGAGAACAATTTTGATTTAATCAAATTTCAAGTACAAACTCAACTTGATTCATTCACAATAAGAACATTTTCAGCTCAAAAAATGTCGTTCTCATTTTAAGAACATTTTCAACTCTGATGAGAACGTCAGTATTCTCTCTGTGTAATAATAATATTGCAAATATATCTGAAAGAACAGAAACAAAATTCAAATATTATTATATCGGATCCACATAATTTAATATGTAAATGCCTACCATTTCCTTGGTATTCTCGCCAATCTTTTATTTTAAATTAAGCTAAATCCGTAATGTGACACACAACTTCCAGAGTTCCGACATATTCGCCATTCTTGAATAGATTGGCCACGCCCTTTAAGTAACCACGCGGCATTATAGTAGGCCAACCGTCAGTTTTGATCAGCACATCCTTTAAATAGTAAACCCCCTTTGGCATAGGACATGGGCGGGTGTTGACGGGAAGATCAGTGTTCTCTCCGTACTTAAAACTCGCATCAAAATACGACCAATATGAGTTCATGCCTTTGCAGAATGGTTGTAAGGGAACAGTGAAAGGAAGCGGCTTGTAATCGCCACCGCCACTGGAATCAATGAAACTTTCAGCAGAAACCGAAAATATATCATCCATATCTTCCATTATTTCCAAAGTGCCATTTGCCCGCTGATCGCGTCCTAAAAATCGAATTTTGCTAAAATCAACGACCTCGGGCCCGTGGAATAAAGTGATATAAAACGAGCATCATAGGTTTTCGGAAGAAGGGTCTGTAAGAAATGTAATTAAAGTAAAATAGTCAAATAAATTTAAAACTTTTCTATATCTTACATAAGCCTTGCTGATTAGCACTACTAAAATATAAAACAGCACCTCCTTCATTGTTTCACATCAATAGAAACATAACTTTAAACTGCAAAACCGATGAGTTGTTTGGATATTTATAGGTACAATGATGGCTTTGAATTATACATTGTTTATATGCATTGTGTAATAAAATTGTGTACTACCATGCAATATGATTTTGTCAAGTTATCTAACCAACAACATTGACTGTGTTTTAACAAGTTTAAAAACAAAAACTATAAAACAATTCATAATTTGAATGAGTAGATGTAGTAATGATTGGGTAACTTATAATCTTGCATTCAGATATAATTTTGAGATATTACCACATATAAAAAATATTATAAATCTATAAAACCCTATTTAAAATTTGGAATATTGTACAGTTTGCAAAGCTAACTTTATTGTATTATATATGCAATAACTGGCTGTTTGCTTTCGAGAAGCTCCACTGTATTTGCTATGCATTCTGCGCCTGGACCAAATTGTATTTTATTGCCAGGGATTAGACGCAACCCTTTCGCTGCTGGCCGGGTCACTGATAAAGGCCAGCGGTCAGGTCAAGTGGAAGGGTTCGACTTGCTGCTAACCCATCGGAAAGCAATTTATTTACACGTGCCCTGGCTCTGAGGATTCCTGCGGCTTAGCCCCCTATATTTTGAGCTGATTTGATGCGATTTTTTATGTCCGTCCATAAAGTTTGACAACGCCAAGAATCAATTTTCGACGTGGTCGAATGTTATTTATGGCTTAAGCCAGGCTTTAGGCCACAATTAAGTGTGCATGTGTGCTGGTAGTGTAACTCAAGTGGTTATCGCATGGCAAACACTCATCTCTATGCCGATCGTTCACTAATTAATGCCAACAATTAAAACCACATTTAGATGACAATCTTTGTGAATAATTGTGCAATATTTGCAAATTTATTGATGACCAGAGACACACACATATGTTTGTTATTATTTGTTACATTTTTTTACTACCATCTCGTATAGCACGCACCCAAAAAAAAATGAAAGGGAAATATGTAGAGCCCACCCGGAGAAACGAAATCGAAAGCGGATCAATTGCCCAAAAGATCAATTGGCAATTGACAATGCGATCGCTCGAGATCAGATTAGATCAATTCATCCCACTTGGGGTTGCATCGGAAAATGCATATAGGCACACATAAGTGTGTGTACATGTCCACTGGACCATTAAATCTCTGTAGAAATTCCGAATGTGTTGCATTTTCCGCCACTCAAGCGCAAAACTAGAAATTCATTAATCCGCCTAGGATTGTGGATTTTTCAGCTCCTATTTTTTGTGTGGTTTTTGGTTTGTTCGAGGGGTTTGCATTTAGGGCTTGCCTTTCGGCTTAGTCTTTAGTTCCATTGTAGATCGATGGCTGGGTTTAATTCAATTACCCCATGCCGAATCCGAATCGTTTCCCATTCCCAGGGCTATTCTCACATTTGAGACTTGCACCTTGCACTTTCGGTTTTCTGGGTTTAATGTTTCCTGAGTCTCCTGTGTTTTTCCTTTTTTATTTTTGGCGGTTACTGAGTTTTGTCTTTTGGGGAATACTCGGCACGCGCTGCATTTTTACGGCTTCATCCTGGCCAGTGGCCACAGGTTATCCAAGGCAGGTGCAATTCCCTGCGAGTCGAATTTAGAGCCCGAAAGAAATGTGTAATTCATGTTTCCGCTGGGGTCAAACATCTTGCAGCAGGGGAGCTGCAGGGTGCCTTCGAGGAGGATTTTAATTGTGTGTTTATGTAGGGAATAAATTTAGAAAACGGGCCCAAAGGAGTCAGTGGAAATAGCAATTCAAGAAACTACTATTTTGTGTATACATTGGAAGGGTTAATACTAGAGTATTTTAATATTTTGGGAGCAGGGAAATATTTATAATTTAAGAAGGCTCTTATCAATATGTGACATTTGTTAAAAAATATATACTCGAAGAAATTTGAAATAATTACCATTTAGAATTGTTTATTAGCTTTAAACCTTATTTTTGTTATTTTCATTTGGTTGTTTTACATTAAAAAAAGGATGGAGTACCCTTTTATCTAAAAAAAAAAATACCGTTGCTATTATTATTTGAATTATTATTTATTTATTATTCTTAATTCACTAGTCACAAGATGTTATATAATGAATCCCGAGCTTATTTAATTAAAATCTATTTTACAATGTTTCAGTTTCAGTTTTTAGGGCTGTGTGGTACCAAGTAGTCCTAAGACTCTTGGGATTCAAGTATTAAAATAATCACTGTTGCAATCCCAATGAAATTATATTCGTGGTAATGAGATACCATGTGAAAATAACAATATGGTGCTCTAAGTCTAATGTTTTAAATTTTTTATGAATCTTTTTTCAGATTTTCTTTATACTTGTCATTTAAAACAATGTTATAGTTATATTATGTTACAATGCTATACTCTATAACACCTTCTTGTTAATCTTAATTAGCAATGCCGTACCAAAATATTTTACAACTTTAGGGATCCTAAGATGCAGATGGCGGATGCTCCGCGGGCGAGCGGATCTCTTGAGCCAGCCCTAGACTTGGCCAGAAAGTCGCCCGCTGATTGGCCAAAAGGCGGAGCCAGAGCCGCGGCTCCGAAAGCGAGTTGTGCGCATAAATTATGGCATTAAGCTAGCGACTGGGATTGGTGCAAGGGGCAGGCAGGCGAATCCGGATTCCGGATTCCAGTTGCACCAGAGCAGCAGCCTCGCAGCCTCCACTCCAAGCAGGTTTTGCGGTCCATCCTGTTTGCCAGTTTGCCAGCAGTTGGCAAACAAAAAAAAAACTGTTCCCAGCTAGCGCTCAAATTAGTTGGCCCAAAGTCAAATACTGAATCTGAATCTGTGGCCGAGACGCTCGGGCAAAAGATCGAAAACTTCGCCTGACATGTTTATTACGAAACGACGGGGACACATAAATCGGAGCCTTTCGTCAGTGCAAATTCAATTAAAGTTGACATTTTCCAATGAACCCGAATGCAAATTGCCGGCCCATGACAAACGTCAGGCGTCAATCAGGCGGCAGCAGGATATTTATGGCCAAATGCATTATTTATCTAGCTGCTCCTCCGTTCGCCGGCTAGCTGAAATTTATTATATTTTATAATGTAACAAATGGCTCGACCACCCGATCGCTCCACGTACGTGAGTCCCGGCCAAGGAGTTTCAGAGCCAAGGAGTTTCCAACTCCAATCGAAGACCCGGAGTTCGCCGAAAGTGCATTCAACTCGCTCTGCATCGAAATCGGCGATAACGAAAGCAATTTGTTAACCGCCAGCCAGCAAAGGGAAAGGAAATCCCACCAAAGTATGTGAAAATATTAACAACATTTTGAAACAAGTCGAAGATAATCGCCGGTGGACGAAAACTGGTTGCTCTGCCGTTGGTAAAAGAAAGGAGTTCTTTACTTTGAGATAAGAATAACGTTTTTAGATCAGTATTTTATAACCTTTTTTGGTTAGTATGGGTCAAATCCCTTTTTAACCGCCAGTTTTTCCGAGATTCATGATGTTTTATGTAAGGATAAAGGCTTAAATTAAGTATTTTGCATATAAATTAGTTATAACTTGGAATTGGATCTTAAAAAATTTGTTTCTCATACAATGATATTTCATTTAATATATTACTTAAGTTTATTAGTTCTCTCTTTTTTATCTTATTTCATAAAAAGTATAGTTTAAGGATATATAACCAATAAATTTTATTGTTTAAGATCATCTGATAGTTAAAGGTATAATTTATTAATACCCACATTTTTATCCCTGGAATATTTTCATTTGAATTATTTTTTAATCTTCTTAATAATTCCTAATACCCCGAAATATGTTAGAGTGCGGAGAATGTAAAATGCTGAAAACATTAAAGTAGCCTAAAGCAGCTTGATTAATTTTATGAGCGATCAGCCGTTAAGTTCAGCGCACATGAAGTTCGCGATACTAATCTAGCATTAAGCATACGCCCCGTTAACGTTAACGTGCGCTTATAAGTTATAACCCCACCCCAAGCAGTCCATTCCCAAAAGGTAAATACTCATTAGTGAAATTTCTTATCACAATTTCGTTTTGTTTTTAGGTTTTTGTTTATGTTTTTTTTTTTTCGGCTTAAGCTGACGGCGTTGGCGAGTTGATCTTGATGCAATTAATAAACGGCGTTGGCCAGGCATTTTATGGTCTTGGATATCCGGAAGCGGGCAATAAAGGGTTCGAAATCGGGATCGCGGCCAGATCGCGATTATGATTTCGGGCTGAACCCAACCGAACCCAAACCCTAAAGCCGAACCAAAACCGAAACCGAACTGGGACCACCAGTGCTCCAGGGGCAATTGCCAATTGCATTCATCAACATGACAGCTACTCGTCCGAGTCCTCTTCCTTTTTTTCCACTTTTTTCTGCCCCCCAAACTCATCCTCCTTGGTAAGTGGATGGCCTTTGGTAAATTGACAGCCGCCGCTGCTCAATTTGAATGCAAACCACAAAATTGGATAATTTCCCAGTGACAATCGAACGGCTGCTCCTGGCTCCTTCGACTACGACCCATTCCTGATATATGCGCCGAGCGAAAAGTTTCCCAGGAGCACTTGCCAGTGACCCCACAGAGTGCTCCAGCTCAGCTCCAGCTTCCAGCTCCAGCTCCCAGCTCCCAGCTCCATCTCCATTCGCAGAGTGTATCGCATCGTATCGCATTGAAGACAAAAGACAATGGCAACTCTGTGGGGCGAGGGCTCGTATGCAAAATAAATTTCACTTCCGAAACTGAATCTCAATCCGAATGAGAATGGGAATGCGGAGAGTCCTGCTTCCAGCCGGTTGTTTCATGGCTTGTTTTACATATGTCCGCACCTAAGCAGAAGACACAAGACCACGACGGCGGATGGAGCTGCTCACCCACCACCATATCATGCACTGGAAATAAAATAGTTAGGATTACCCCTTCACCATGTCAGAGGGTTCCAAACTCTTCGAACTAAGTTTTAACTGAGGACAAGAGACGGTCTTTTGAATTAAACCTATAAAAAAAAATAATATTGATAGTCTAAAGATCCAAAGAATATAAATAGTCTATATGATGATACACCTTTAACGTTTCTATGAATTTGAATACATTTTCAAAATTGATCTTAAGTATATGAAACCAATAAAAACGATTAGTTCTACCAACATACATTCCAAAGAATTTCTATTATAAAGATCTTAGAATACAATATAATATAATACGAAGATGATTAAAATACAATTGTATGCATTAGAACTTAAATAAAATGTAAACAATGATCTTAAGCTATATAAAATCATTAATAACCTTCATTTCTAACGTTTGAAACCAATCAGTACATTTTTGGTTTTTTTTCGAAAACTCCCTGATTTTTTCTCCCCGTGCAGGATCATCTTCGAGCCTCTGGGGGACACTCGACAATGGGCCAAATGGCTGGCTCGAAAAGGCAAAATGCAGGCGACTCGTAAATCCGGCTCGATTGCTTCGCCAGAAATCCATACTGAATTGATTGCATTTGGAGCAGGATGAACAAAAAGGGGGGTCTCTGCTCAAAATGTTGCAATTAATTTTTGCACAATGCTCTTTGTGCTATTTAGTTCTCGATTTTGCAGCATTATGGCAGCGGTTCCCTGGGCTTAATTGCCCCCGAAAAAGATCGTTGACAAAAAAAAAAAACGGCGAAGAGTTCCCAACTCCAACGCAAAACAGTAGCTAACCAGATACGAAATGAAAAAAAAGGTAGAGGACGATAGGACCTGGACTTGGACTCCTTTTGGGTTCTTTTTGGGGCCTTTGATTTGCATATATTTTGGTTTTAATTAGTTAACAAGCTGCTTTCGTTTGTTGCGATTGCATGTTGAACCACGACGCGTATCGTAGATGCTGCAGGTACCTCCTTTCTCCGCCGAAAGAAATCCCCTCAAATTGCATGCATAAGGAGCAGCAGCGGACAGCAACAGCAACAGCAACCAGCAACGTATAAAATCAAACACGATTTTTAGCAGTTTTCAATTCCCGGAAATCTTGTACGATATGTAGCACCATACAACTGCGGATTGTGCTGATTGTTGCTGCTTTCTGCTTTCTGCTGGCTGCTCGTTTTAGCCGTTTTAGCCGTTCCCTATCCTTGGCCAAAAACAGCCAGGCTCTCGAGAGTTGGCGCGCGATACGATTCCGATTCCGATTCCCATTCCGATTCGCCAGTATCGTGCAAATGTTTCATTATTTAACTGATTTCAGTTGGCCAGCTAAGCCAACCCAGCCAGCTGTGTGCTGTGGGCCCAAAAGCCCATGGCAATCGAAGAACTGGCGACAACTTTGCATTCGAAATACCAACGAAAATTCCAAGATGTTGTCATCAATTAAGCTGCCTCGTATGCAAGTGTAGAGGGTTCGGTCTGCTGTTCACACCTGAGAGAACTTTATTAGGCCGTATCGGGCAGGGTCAAAAAATGGCCAAAACATCCCGGGAAGATGCGTAAATTATGGTCTAGGTCTTTGGGCCCAATGGCGCTGGCCAATAAAATGCCAGATAAATCAAGGCAGAGGTGGAAATCAGCGCAGTCCGGAGTTTAGCGAATTCTGCAGAAATGAGCCGCCGAGAGACTTATTTGCATTCGCCCTGTTGTCAGCCAAGTTGTCGTCGCGTCTTGGCCTTCTCCCTTCTCCTTGGAGTTTTGGTATCCCACTACTGCTGACAGTAGTCTGCAGGGAAAATAAAGCAAAATAAGAGCCAAACATGAAAACTGTTGCCCACGAGTCTGGCGAGTACGCGGTAGAGCATCCCATCCAGCCAGACAGCCTTTTGTTCCATCTTGTTAAGGCCTGAACTTTATGCCAGCTCGGGGTTATTGTTTTTGGGCTAGTTAGGATGGGGGTAGGGGTCCATGGTTCCAGGAACTTTTCAGGTGGCACAGCATGTTCGGGCCAGACACACTTTTGGTGGCCTCGTGCAGCAGCCATTGTGGGGGCCTTCAATTAAAATATATTTAAGAACAATTTGGTTAGAAAAGCGCGACGGGCGAGGGCCAAGAAAACGAAAATGATTAGAGTTGGTAAAAAAATAGTATTTCTTTGGTATAACATTGTTTCAGAGACTATACATCTGGTTTAGAGTAAATTATTATACAATTATAAAACAATTTTAAAATTTTAGACATTTATCTTTAAAAACGTACTTCCATTAACCTTAATTTTATTGTTACGGTAAGATTTCCAAATAAAATTCACATTTAAGACCTTTGATCTAATTTTACTTTAAAACTTAAAACATAACAATTCTTCTCTGTTTTGTTATCAGACAAATCAGTAATAGCCTTAAAATAAAAATCAAGAGCAATTATAATCAAATCACCCGGATCTTCGGATCAATTATTTTTTATGATACATCAATATACATTTTTTTATACTCCGTTTAAGAATATTTTGATTATCTCCAATCTCATAACTTTTATTTTTAGGGCTAAATAGATCATTGGATAGAACTCAAATTTCTAATTAAAACCTATCCTATCATCTTATGAACATTCCCGTAACTCTCCACCGACTCTCAGAAACCCCATGACATTGTAAGCCACACAATAAATAAATCATCTGGAATATATAAATAAGGTATTTCTGCGTAAATTTATAGTCAACACCCCGCCTAGTTTTTTGTTAATGTGATTTGCTCATTCTGTTCTCCATTTTATTTTGTTTTCATTTCCATCATTTATTTTTTTTGCATTTGCTGACGGCTTTTCATCAAAGGAGTCACGATGATGGCAACTGTGGCGCATACAAATGATGGATCTGGCTCGATGGGGTCTGCGAAAATATAAAAACAGCTACAGCAAATTTAAATGTTGTTTGGGCATGTTTTATTTGTCATTATATAATCAGCACAAGTCGCACAAATCGCTGAAAATTAAGCAGAAAGAACTAAGCACCGTCTGTCAAGAATATCAGTTTTATTTTACACCTGAAATACAGCATGGTTCATGAAGTTAAGGCAAATAAAAATAAAAGAGGTATGTTATAAACAACCCATTTATTCAAACTAGTTTATTTTATTCAGCAGTCATTACCTTTTATAAAAAATAATTAATTGCCTTAGGAAAAATTGAAATCGATTTGCTATCGTTGACAATTTTAGATCAGATAAAACCACTTGCAATTAAAGGCCAGTCAACAAATCATTTAATTAATCCATTGATTTAATGACAGGCATAAGACAAATTTGTCTTCACTTAAATATATTGAATTAGTTGTCTTACACTAATGGACCGCACTGTCTAGTTGTCTTTACGGTTTCATACGACATCTAAGCGGAGGGCATATGCGTAATGTTCGTAAATGTTTTCAGCGTGTTTAGGTTTGTTTATAGTTTTGTATGAAAATTTACGAGCACGTCGTTAGCCGCATTTTTTTTTTCGGAGATTCGCCTAAAGTTATGGCCGAATGTTTGGCTTGTGGCAAATGGCCGGAAGAGAGATGCTTATCGCTGGCACTGTTAATACCCCGCATTTAAAAGTGTAATTAACGCAATTTGAAATGTGAGGCGAGCGACCAAAACGAAAGACTCAGGCACGAACGCGCAATGTGTGGGGAGATGCAGGGATTCCGATTCGGATTCGGATTTCCAAAGGAAGCAGGAAGCTACAGCTACATACAGCCCATGGTGCATGAGGGTATTTGATCATGACTCACTCGTACGGCTCGTGCTCGACACGTATTCCTGGAATACAGGGGCTCCTGTCCACTTCTTTCCCTCCATCCAAACACCAACTCTATCCTCCGGTAGCAATGCCTTGATTCTGCACACAGAATTCCTAATTAGCCAAGGGCCATGGGCTCGCTTCCCGATATTTATGCGTTCGTAGGGCTGTCTGCATCTATCAATGTTAACCTGCAACGTCTGCATTTGGGTGGCCACTTGCTGCTGCCTCTATAAATTACATTCGAACAAGTGTTTGGAATATTCGATGCTCGCAATCGCTGCCATCCATCTCGATTATTCGTAATTTATGAGACTCACTTTGGTTTTTCGTAATGTTTTTATAATTTGTCTTTATTGGTTTCTCATTTATATTTCGTTTTCTCGCTGGTTTGCTTGGTATGCCTTGCTCGTTTTTCAGTTTTCGATTTTGGTTATTGTAGTTTATAATTTGCATTGCTGTTTCATATAAATTATAATAATTAACTAGGTGAATGTTAATGAGTACAGGAAAAGCGTGACAAGGCTTAAGGATCTCAATTTGGGTGTTCAGAGTTTTAGTTTTTGGCTGCAGCTAGAAAAACTCAACAATTCTTTTTTTTTTGCGTATTTTACAATCAATCATGGAATTTCTTTAACTATGGCTTTCGCTTGCTTAGTTGATTTTACATTCATATTGTTTAAATACATATATTTATAGTTTAAAACGTCTTCATAATTTATGCTGTCCGTAGCTTTTGTTTTTTTCAGTTTTCGCTAGGCAAAAATTCCAGTAAATATAATTATCAGCATCGAAGCATGTAAGCGAAATGTAAATTATATATTGTATACAAAAATTATAAAAAATAATATTTATTTAATCACACCAATAAACACTAAACATAAGACTAACTAATCGTGGAGACGGCCAACGAAATTTGTAGAGGCGACATAGATATACATATTTAGGGGATAATTGGTCGATCAAGCCTGAATGAAATACTAAATACACACGAGCGTGTCGTGTCGGTTGTGTGTTTCTTGTTCTTGTGGGTGTGTCGGCATAGATTATCTAACAAAACTTACAACGTACACAGAATTCATTTAAGTTCTTCCCTTTGTGAGTCTACAAATTCGAGACAGTCGAGCACCCGAACCCTGCACTGCGAAATCACATACAACACACACATGTAGACATTACCATACAAACAGTACAAACAGATTTTTCAAGGCATAGATATTACTCGCTGTGGCTTAGTTTTCAAAGTTTTTTAAATCTTGTACCCCAATTAGTTGGCTTACTGCTGGCTTTGCTCATTGTTCATCACTCTGCAAGTTATTATTAGTGTATATATGTATATATAGTTGTTCTGTGTGAGATATAGTGCCTAAGTGTGTGAGTGTAGAGGGTAGGGAGTTCGTTATCTAACGACTTTGGCTTTTCGAATGTTGAATTAACCACTGCAGCGTTATGTCAATGTTGTCCTTCTCCTTGCAGGAAATACTATAACAGCAGATTTCACGGTCCTGTATGCTCGAAAGATTCCTGTAATTAAATATAAGACATTAGATATAATATATTTATGATATTTTCTAGTTCCAGCTACTCACATGCGTTCGATGAGCCCGGTTTCATCGAGGGCCCCTGGAAGATCACGTTTGTTGCCCAACACGAGCACTGGAATGCCGGCGAGCTGCGGTTTGTCCAATAGTGAGTGCAGCTCGTTCCTCGAGCCTCCAATTTGTCCAGATCGGCCGCATCCACCATATAGCTGTCGATTAATACACAACACAGTGTTAATTGGATTCCCATTGTTGCTTAACCAGCATTATTGCTTACACAATCGCATTAACGCCGCGACAGTAGCGCTCCCACATGGATCGGAATCGGGGCTGGCCTCCGATGTCCCACACCTTGATAGTCACATTGCCCCGGGTGATCTTGCGCATGTTGAAGCCAACTGTGGGTATCATGTCCTCAGCGAATTGGCCGGACTGCAAATGTAAGATTTTTAAGGAATTATTATATGGTTGATGATAATTACGTGCTTCTTAATTTATTAATTGAAGTTATCGCAATGATTTTTTATACATATCTGCAACTCCTTGTGAAAAGAACATGCCCAAAAGTATGCAGTAAAAATAAATGTATAATTCGAGTAAAAAATTTTTACATACAGCAGCATCCAACTTTGTTTGAATTTTTATTTAATAGAACTTAGAATAATTCAAATGTTGTAATGGTAATAGCTTTTGGATAGGTAATGTGGAGAGAAAGCGATTACTTGACGATTTTAATAGACTTTCATGCAGTTGTCAGTTGTCAAAATGTAATAGAATAAATTGTTTTAAAAGGAAAGTAGATTATTAGGAATACTGTTATACTGAGTTCTATATTCATTTATTTTTCAAAAAGTTACCTGCGTGAGGAGTTAGCATTATGCTACTACTACTACTCAGTTTCTTTCCATTTAATCCTACTGAACATTCGGTTAGAATTGAGGGATTTTAGTTAAACTACGATAAGTTTTATATTATGGAATTACTAATTTGCAAGTATGAAAATTGCTCATGAAGAATGAATATTTTTGTGGTCTAGTTAGTTGCAAAACGGCATGGCAAGATTAAAATAACGAATAAATAGGACAACCCAGCTGGCAATTCAAGCTGGAATAGATAGGAATGATGATTATTAAAAGGTAAAATGAGTATTGTATTTCCAAAGACCAGTGAAAATCAATGGTACAAGAACGATTATAAATAAATACCAACGAAGTGGGGAGAGTGACGATTTCCCCGCCCCCTCAAGTTTGTTTGCAAACCGAACCTGAACATTACTGAAATGTATGAATCTGAAAAACAGGGGATTACGTGGAGCTAATAACAGTGATAAGCGGGGGAAAATTTCCATTTTAGGAGCACTTAAGCAAACAAATTTCCACCAGATGCGGGCGACATTCATTTGAATCGAATTCGCTGGTGGACTCTCACATGACTCATAGTCAGGCGGTCACAAAGGCAGTAACTCCACCTCCCAAAAACCCCGGGGAAATGTAACTACTGTTTGTCTATGATTTCCAGGAACTTCAGATCGCGACTTTATCAGCGTGCAGAAGTGTGACAATAGGCAAAAGGAGGCGGGGGTTCAGGGGGGTCAAGGGGTTCGACGCGCTGATAATGGCGTCATTGTGCGGAAAACATGCGTATATATAGTGTATAGGTTTATTGATTACGGACGGCAGGAAAGGTAAACTTTACCACTAAAATAAAACGGTTAGCACAGCGTTAATTATTGATGCAGTGCAAGAAAATGGGGGTATCGAACCAGATAAGAGGCAAACAAAGGGAAAGTGGGGGAACCAAGGTATTACAGGCAATTCCTTTGTGATTAGGGGTTTGTGGGGTTCTTTAACCATCCTATAGTCATAGCCGATCCCCCGGCTTTCTCTGGCACCCCCTTGCACCCCCCTGCACACACCACAAAAAAAAAACCACCCTTCCACCCATACACTTGCAAATTCGCACACTCGCACACACCCAGTGCGAAATACTCACTGCAATAACATTGACGAACGTCGTCTTCCCGGAGAACTGCAGCCCCACCAGCGTCAGTTCCATCTCCTCTTTCCAGAAGATGCTCTTGAACCACTCGAGGATCCTGTTGATGAGGGCCAACATCCTGGGGCAGGTGTAATAGGTTGTGTTGTGGTTGAAATCGCGAAAAAGGTTTCCTTTTCCAAAGAGCGTAAATTGTTGGCGTGAAAAAAACAACTGGGCAGGTCAGTGTGACCAAGTGCGCGGCGGTGCCGAAATATCAATACTTTGGGGTTACACAACACTAGTTGGCAGGGTGCTCGAGGTGAATGGTGAAAGTTATTTGTTACAAATTAACAATAAAGTCAATAAATTGCTTTTTAAATTATAATTCAAGAAAAAGCTCTTAAAAAAGTAAGACGAGATTATTGCTCGCTCTAAAAGTTAGCTATAATTTTACAGAAATTTGTTTTTATATATTCATATGTTATTGCATTTTTACTAAAAAAATTTAGAAAATGTTCAATGTAAAAATTGTAGTTATATGCTCAATCAGAATATTACTAAAAAATTCTATGTAAAATAATGCTTTTAACTAAATTTTAAAAAAATTTCATTAAATTTCCATGTATAGTATTCACTGTATTTCCTATCGATATCTGTGTAATCGATTTCTTTGATTTCGTGGTGACTGGCAGTTGAGGCAGAAGAAGATAGTAAACAAAATGGTAAGTTTTGCAAAAATCTATTAAATTTTAATTAAATGTATAATAAATGTTTCATTTTAGGCGCGAAATGCAGAGAAGGCAATGTGAGTAAACCTGAGATTTGAAAACCATGTAATTTGTAACACTAACCCTTTTTTTCGCCAGGACAACTTTGGCACGTTGGCGGGCCGCAAAAGAAGTGGAATCCGGCGAAAAGGAACGCCGGCCCTATTTGGCCTCCGAGTGCCACGATTTGCCCCGATGCGAGAAGTTCCGCCTGGAGATTATACGCGATATATCCAAGAAGGTGGCCCAGATACAAAATGGTACTTATTCGGCTTAGGTTTCCTCAAAAATGTACTTACATATTATACTTACAGCTGGCTTGGGAGAATTTCGCATCCGCGATCTCAACGATGAAATCAACAAGTTGCTGCGTGAAAAGCGCCATTGGGAAAATCAGATATCTTCACTGGGAGGCCCTCACTACAGACGTTATGGCCCTAAGATGTTCGATGCGGAGGGTCGCGAAGTTCCCGGCAATCGGGGCTACAAATACTTTGGAGCCGCCAAGGATTTACCGGGTGTTCGAGAGCTCTTCGAACAGGATCCCCCGCCGCCGCCAAGGAAATCTCGCGCTGAACTGATGAAGGACATAGATGCGGAGTACTACGGCTATCGGGATGATGAGGATGGAGTGCTGATTCCGCTGGAGGAACGCATTGAACGAGCAGCTATCCAGAAGGCAGTGCAGGAATGGCGCGAAAAGATGGCCAGAGATGGTCGCATAATCGATGACGACGAGGAAGAGGACGAGATATATCCCCTTTCCGGACCCGCTCGCGAAGCCATCGAGGACGCCAAGGCTCGAGCCGCTGTCGAGGATCCCCACGGCCTGTTGGCCCCCAAATTCACCGCCCATGTGCCCGTGCCCACGCAACAGGATGTGCAGGAGGCACTATTGCGCAAGCGAAACAGGAACTCCTGGAGAAATACGCCGGTGGCGCCAACTAAGCTCAATAAACATTCTAATTTCTTAGTTTGATTTTACAAAACTCGCCTGTAACTTAGTTTTTACTTTTCATATTGAAACGATGGGGTTTTTAATAACACACAGAGTAATATGAATGTTTAGTTCCCCACTGGGTTTATTTCTGTGTATAATCTATCTTTGGATAGAAGAATCGTTAAACAAATTTGTTGAACAAAATTTCAAGGCACTTCAATGCGCTGTGGTCTCTAATAACTACAAAATGCGATCTGGAGATTCAATCAGAAGCTAAATCCTTAGAAGTTGCGGCCTCCACCGCCGCGTCCACCACCGCCACTGCGGCCTCCTCCTCCGCCGCCACCAAAACGACCACCTCCTCCTCCACCGAATCCGCCGCCTTCAGCAGCGCGTCTCTCCTTCATGGCCTTGAAACGCGTCGCCATTTTGTGCAGTTCGTCGGGGACTTCCTGCTCTGCCTCCTGAAGGATATCAATCAGATCCTTGGCCACGCCCCAATCCTCGCGAGTGATAAAACTTATGGAGGTGCCCTTACGGCCAGCACGTCCGGTGCGACCCACACGGTGCACATACTCCTCGATGTTACGCGGAAAATCATAGTTGATGACATGACTGAAATAGGGGTATTTATAAGTGGAGGCTAAAGTATACAGTAAACATTTGCTTACGATATGTCCTCGATGTCCAGGCCACGAGATGCCACATCGGTGGCAACCAGGATGTGCACGGCACCCGACTTGATATCAGCTATAGCCTGCTCACGATCGCTCTGATCGCGATTGCCATGAATGCACTGGGTCATGAAACCATCCAGCGTGAGATCACTGGAAGGTCATCGGCGCGAGCCTTGCGTCCGCAGAAAATAATGATCTTGTCCGTCTTGCTCATGTTCTTCACGAACGACTTAATCGTTCTAAACTTCTCCTTGTCGTCCTCGAGCAACTCAATCACTTGCTTCACCGAGTGCGTGGCCGCCAGATCGAGCGAGCCGACACACACCTGTATCGGGTTCTTCATGTAGCTCTGCGCCAAACGACGAACTCCCGGCGGCCAAGTGGCTGAAGTCATAATGGTCTGGCGATCCGGGCGTATGTCCAGCATTACCTTGCGGATCTGCGGCTCAAAGCCCATGTCCAGCATGCGATCGGCCTCGTCGAGCACCAGATAAGTGATGCTGCTCACATCGATAACGTTGGCCTGCACCAGATCGTTGAGGCGACCCGGAGTGCAGATGATGATCTCCGCTCCGCGCTCCAAGTCCGAGATCTGCATGCGACGGTCGCCACCGCCGTATACGCAAACGCTGAAAATTATGGGATTAGATTTTTTAATATTTAGGATTTAAGCGATTGGCAGTCGAGTTCTAAGTGGAACTCTGATTGATGATAAAAGAAGCTATCATCCGTAGGATTATTCTCATTTTCTAGATTTCATTTATGCTTATTTATTATCGATAATACTCACGCTTTCATGTCGCGGAAGGAGTACTTCTTCACCTCCATTTCGATCTGCAGGGCCAACTCTCGAGTGGGCGCCAGAATGAGGACATTGGCACCGCCCCTCTGACCTCTGGGAACGCTCTGGTACTCGGTGTGAATCATTCCGGGCAGCAAGAAGGCCAGAGTTTTGCCCGTGCCCGTTTGGGCGATTCCAATCATATCATGTCCTTGGAGGAGAATAGGCCACGCCTGCGATTGGATGGGCGAGGGCTTGGAGAAGCCCATTTTGGTGATCTCGCCAAGTAGATCCGGATATTCGGCAAAGCATTGCTCGAATGTCCAAACTGGATTTGGAATGGGTGGAGCAGTTTCTCCCTCCTTCGGCTCGAAAACGTGCGAGACCGAGATGTTGTTATTATCAGCGCGAATGCGCTCGATCTGGTCCTCGGAAAGATTGGCCACTTCTGGCGCCTCCTTGTAGAAGTTCTTTGTCAGCGGTGGACACTTGGCCCAACGAGCTTTAGTAGCTGCTTCCTGTGAAGAATTATATTGGATTAAGAAAGCTATGACAAATATGTGACATTATCTGATTGTTTCTTGTGTGTCACGAGCCTTAAATATAATTGTGAAGTACTAAAGTCGATAAGACACTGATTGTACTTATCTTTATAATTTTGCTTTTATTCTTTTAGATTATAATTATACTTTATTAATTTTAACTGAATTGCTTTTAGTATAATAATTTTTTATTTGAATGACCTTACTAATTATTTAGTTCTAAATTTTAATATTATTTTAACTGGAAGTATTACCAAGTTCTAACAAATTTGTGTTATATTTATAGTACTTTCTAACGATTATATTTATATGTGTTTCTACTTACCGAAGCTTTGTTAATGGATGCCCAATCGATGGAACCGGTGAGATCTCCTCCCTCGTCAGTGGTGGGCCTTGAAGCCGGGGGATTGAACTCGTAGCTACTTCCCTTGGATTTGCCATGTCCGCCACCACCTCCTCCGTAGCCACCACCGCCAAAGGAACCCCTTCTATCCTGATCCCTTCCCCTATTTCCCGGATCACTAGTGACCTGCTTGCGAACGTGATTGATAGCATCAGAGACGTTGCTCTGGACCTTACCAGTTATATTGACTATTAACTCGATCTTGTCCACCTTCACGTAGACATCGAAATCGGTCTGAATCCGTGATATATTAGCTCCGGCTCTTCCAATGACTTTTCCGATCATTTCGGAAGCGATGCTCAGGGATTCGCTGAAACCTCTGCCACCGCCGTAGTTATTATCGCGATTATCCCGATTGTCACGACGTCCTCCTCCTCCGTGATCATCGCGGTTTCCTCGATTATCCCGTCTTCCTCCGCCGTAATCATCACGATTTCCACGATTGTCATCCCGCTTCCTATCGCCTCCGTATCCACGTGAATTATCATCGCGTCTGAGACTCCTTTCGTACTTATCGTTCATCTTGGAGTACTCCTGCACCTTGACCGGTGCCTCCACATACTTTGGATCGTCCCAATCGAGTTCAGACATATCGTAGTCCGCTCGACGCTTTATTTTGTTGGAATTTGGGGAAAAACGCAGGGCACGTGAAAAATGCCGACTTTGCAATTTGCTTTTCCGCTTTCAAACGGTAAATCTCGCGTGCGTATGTGTGTGTTTGGTGGCCCAAAATTGAGCTTGCACAGCGAAAATTCTACGCGGATTTAAACAAGCTGCAATGAACCTCAGATAACCTAATGTTCTGCACTTGATATTTTCTTTTTATTTTACTTACTCGTTTTTGTTCAGTCACTTCATTCTAGTCGGAAAATTCTAGTCGAGAAATTAAACGGACCGCTTTGACAGACGCTTTCGAGGAAGGGTTGTATTTCAACTAGGGATGCGGGCTCAATCGATTAATTATGATTAATCGACCTGGGAATCGAATATAAAATTATATTCCGATTATTAGGAAAAGAAAATAACTTTTAGATATTAACATTGCTAATCAATGTATTAAATATTAAAATAATTAATTAATAATAATTTAAATAAAATAAAGCCATTAAGCCGTTAAAATAAAAGTTTAATTTACATAACTTAAAATAGAATACAACTTACATATTCTTTTAGCTATGTAAATGACAAGAACAACAAATTTATAGAAAAAGTATCTAAATAATAATTTTTTCACTTGATAAATATGTATTTTTTACCATTGCAGTTAATATTAAATTACTTTATTAAAAAATCAGGAGATCGTGGGGTTCCCCCTATTTCGATATACTTAGTTCGATAGCTATCGATATTCCGGAGCGGAACTACCAGGGCTGGTTGTTCTACAGAGCTGAAAAGCAGTAACTGTTCAGCACTTTTCACTTTGGCGGTCCTGTTTAAAATTGAAATAAAAACAGCAGTTGGTTCGGTTACTATTATAATTTCCGTTTACTTAACACACGGGTTACACTTTTTAGGTGTATCTTAGCCTATTAGATTTACGGTCTAATACAAATGAATCAAATCGCATTCATTATCCTCTCACGCGCTCGCTTCATATAAATAACTAAAACTAGAAAACACAAACTTTCCTCACTTTCAAGAAGTAACTAAATTACATGCAAGTATATAGAGTGTAGGTGTGGCTATAGCGGATTGATAAAACTTAGAACAGTTTTGATAAGATCTTTGCTGTGTATATGGCGGTTTTTCTCATATTTTTTGGGAACAGGGTAGGGTTCGTTTGGTGTGGCAAGTCAGCAGAAATAGTTGCAGTGCATTTTGGATTTTCATTTTACTATGTGAAGTTTAATATAGTTTATGTGTGTATAGGTATAGTTAAGACTCGCTTACGACTAAATTTAAACTAAATTAACATATACGAGGTTTTCTTTTTTCTTAAACAATTTCTCCAGTTGGTTGTTTTGGATTATTTTAGTTGTATTTGTTTTGTGTTGGTTCAGGGGATGCGTAGAAGAAATACATTACAAAAGCCTTAAAAAGTATTGCAAGTAGTTTAAGCTGCAATTGGTATTTCTTTCCCTTGTTTTTTGTTTTAGGTACGTTTGTATGTACAGTTTATGAACGTTTTTATTTACACGTTGCAAAGGTGGCTTGATATACCATTGTAGCATCACCTTTTTCTATAGGAAGTAGCAGGCCTCTTGCCGTTTTTGATTTGATAAAATACATATTTTTCAGCCAGGTAAAAAATTCTTTAGTTTTAGTAGTTTAGTAGTTATAAAATACTTAAAAACTTGGTCATTTTCTACATATTTTTGAAGAAAAATACAATTTTATCAGCTCTAATTTTGATCATAAAGAAAGTGGCAATTGGCTGTACATTTTCTTTCTTTTCACAGCTGCTAGTTGGCGGCGGCTCTTCGCGGGGACCTTATCTCAGTCCCTCGTCGAGTTCCTGGCCAAGGGGTTGATCCTGCCCTCCGGTGCCTCCTCGCAGACGGGCGTGGATGGCACCGAGAGCCAGGACGAGGACTTTGGGATGGGTGACGCGGGTGCATAGCTGGACTCCAGATCCAATCGCAGTTTGGCGGGCGAATTGCGCTTGAATAGGGCCAACTGCCTCGTGGGCGACAGCAGATTTGGCTTGCTGATTGCGCAGGATGATACGGATGAGCTGGTGGACTGGAGCAGGGAGCAGATGCCACTGCTGCTGGTCGAGCTTGGTGAATCCAGTTCCGAACCGTGGACGCTGCCGCCGAAGTGCTGGGCGCTTCGTCATCCGGGGTTATCGGGGGAGAGGTCAGCCGGGAGGAGCAATTACTGCCAGCCAGGCTGCCGGCGCCACTATCCACATCATCGTAGTCGTACACATCCTCGTCCATGGCCTCGCTATCCGACTTGGATTTGCCACGATCCCGCTGCTCCCGCTTCTCCTCGATCTCCTCCTCGTCCGGCTGTTCCACCAGTTGACTAGATGGCGTACACGATGATCCCAGTGAAGATCCCGAGGGATTACTGGGACTGTTCAGGTGCGGTGTTGCGGCGCCAGGACTCCACTCTTGCGCAAATTCTGCTCCAACTCCAGCAGCTGGCCCATGAAGTTCAGATTCGGCGAGATGATCGGCCGGGCCACTTTCACCAGTTTGTAGGCCTCCAGCAGGGAGAGCGACTTGTACCGCATGACGTAGGCGATGGCGATGGTGGCGCTGCGCGAAATCCCCGCGTGGCAGTGCAACAGCACTCGGGAACCCGTTTTCCGTGCATCTTCTGCAAAAAATCAAAGAAAAATTCGTTTTAGCCAATATGATAAGGTTGGTAAAAGTTTTATGAACAAATTTGCAAAGATAGAAATGGGTTCGGTATGGCCTATCTTATCATAAAACTTCCCTGACTGAAGAAGTTATTTTAAAAGGTTTCGCTGTTACCAAAATATTTTGATATATAAAAACTACGGGACTATATTTTACTGAAAATAATAATAATATTTTCAGTTTTGATTAAGTTTAAGCTTTTTTCCTAGTTTTTAGCTTGAAAATTCATTCTTTCAGATTCTTATTTTAGCTATTTATAGCTTTTTTTTGCATCTCTGGCGACGGAGAAACTTTTCGAATTTTGAACGTCGAACGTGGAAGCTTCGATGATGTTGTCGTTGTGTTGATATCGCCCCGTCGATACTTTCAGTGTATTGGTGGGCCCTCTCTCTCTCTTTTATAAATGTTCTCTCACACTCTCTTGGTCGGCAACTCGACTGTGTGAATTTTGCCGATATGAGTCATCATCATCTGGCAACAACAACAAAGCGACGAGGCTTATTGACAGAACAATTTTATAACCCCACCCCTACACACACACGTGGGCCACATTAACTCATAATTTACGTTGTTATTTTTGGCCAAAGATAAGCGGCTGGAGGAAGAGGAAGAAACCCAGAAGAATCTGCAGCATACGGCGTACTTTTTTCCAAGGCTCGCCATAATAAAGTACAGTAAAAACTGACTAAATGTAAATTACTAATAATAGTATGGGTTGACTAACATTCATGGCTTTATATTGCATTACAAGTACTACCAAATGATCTAAAATTAGTACAAGACCAAATGAAATTAAAAAAAGTTATCCTAATTTAATATATTATAATATTAAAGAACCTTTACTATCCCTATTCAAATAAGGAACAAACAACTACAGTCCCAGAAAAAAAAAAGAAAATCGTACTTTCTCTCATGTTCCTAACGACTTCCAGATAGAATTTTACCCTTATAAAGTTCTTTTAATTTTCAAATTATAGAAGTTCGACTGTGACCACATATAAAGCCACCACCGAAAAAATAAGCATTATCTTATCGCACAGGAATTGGTTGTGGTGTGATTTTGGGTTGGTGGTGTGCACAAATAAAATATTACGGGGGCTTCCGAGAGGGGCTTTTATAGGGGAACGGGGCGGACTTTCCTAATCGATGCTTACTCATAATGCAAACAAGGCAACACTTGTCTGATTTCCAAACAGTTGATAACCAGCCAGGCAGAAGCGAAGCCTTGTTAGTCACCAGGCGCCTACCTTTCCCTCCCCCAACTGCACCCCCTATTCCCACAGTGCCCCCGCACTCCCCATTATAAAATAAACCCCTTGCCTTATAGCGAAGGAGGTGATATCAGCGATAAATCTGGAAGGAGCGTGTAACTCACTCGGAATTGCAGCCATATTGTCAGCCTTCGCTATATAATAGCCCCTGGGACCCACCCCTTTTTCCCTGGTTTACCCATCTGAAGAGGTGAGATAGCACTGTGTTTGATTTATCAATGAATAGAGGGGGTGCAAAGTAGGCAGCGATAAGGAAACCTTCCCTACCGCACAACTTCGATTTCACAAATTTCGACCACAATTATGAATTGCAGTTTACACACCAGTCAAGTGAAATCAAATCGAGTTAGCCGTGTTATCGGGACTTTGGTGATGATATAGCAACTATAATTGGTCCCCGGGGAAAATCCATCATAAATAAATAATCAACTACCATTCAAAGATAACAAATGGGTGCACAGTACCTAAAATAAGTACGTCAGAGTCCCCGAATGGGTTCTTGCCTCAGAAACACTACACTAGCGAAAAGAAAGAAACCAAAGTTGTGTGATTTGTCATGGTCTCAGCTTAAGAAGGGGATTCACAAAACTATCTTTAGCTTGAATACACTGTCAGCATAATACAGTTATCAGAAGATATGAAACATTTTCTATTTCCAATAAATATATCATACCAAGATATAATACCCTTATCTTATCAAGCATTTTCTTAAGTTGTCTGAATATTAAACTGGAATCCTTGGTTACTTTTCTCCCTGTGCACAAAGGGGGGATTAAAATCGTCAAATAAAGAGATGACCAATCCATAGGCTGGCCAAAAATAGACCCACTGATCGGGGGGAGGCCAAAAGACAGCCGCATAGATAAAGAAAGATGGTCATTAAGCGTACAATGGCAGACAATTGGTCACCGTCCCCGTTCCGTTCCGTTCGCACGGCGCTCATAAATCCTCTTAGTTAATGACCCCGTCGCTCAGACAGTTAAAATCGCGTATAAAACGCGCCGTAAACGCGCCTGTCTCGCACACACCACATCATATGTGACTCATGTGGGCTAGAAGAGACCAAGAAATAATAATGCAGAACGACAGGGGCTGAGGAGTTTCGCAAAAACTAGCCAGAAGTAGCAGTAAACCATGAATGAATTCCGCAAAACTATAGTTTGAGTCACTAGTAGTTTGAGTTCTAGCTAATTGGGCTCAGGTTTAAGTTAAGAACAGAGATTTTTAGTGGCTACAAAATCTTTTCAAAAATTTATAACACCTAATCTATCTTTGGAATTAGAAAGAATAATTTCAATTCAGGATAGTTAGGAAGTATAACGAAACAGGTTTAAGCTGTTCTCAGTGCATCTACCAACTTGCAAGTATTCTCACCAAACTAATCTTCTGTTTTTTATGGTATCCCATTACAGTTCTGATGAAACTGTTAATCATGGTTACCAACAATTATTTGTTTGTTTTTCCGTCAGTAATTTTTGCATATTGCTGGATTTATTTTGTTCACAGAAAACGGAACTCGAAGCGGAGGCTTTGCTCAATTATTGGGAATCGATGCTTTGGTAATTGTTTATTGTTCATGACAAATAGGCCCGCCATATATGCTGTGGGGAATTACTAATCGCCAATAGTGCCTTACATACGTATGACTAAACGGACTGACTTAGTCCACCGGAGCGCATATTCGGGCGATGACTGTGGATGACTGATAGATCCCGGGGAGTCGTGCCTCTAATGGGACAGTACACGTTGCCACCATTCCGAAGGGCTGAGAGTCGTGACTCCATTAAGGGGCGATGCGTAATGCCAACTTTGGGTAGTCACCGAATTCTTACACCGATGAATGTATGATTAAGTGCAACAGTAGCGATGTTTTCTTTTTTTTTTTTATTGTCGGGCCCCCGGGTGCGTCATCTGGTGATTTCGGCTCAGAAGTGGGCCAAGTGGCAGACGACTGTCTGACAGCTGGGATGCCTGTGCGATGGGATGGGATCGTATGGTATGGTGCTATATGGCGTATGGGGTATGGTAGCACTGTCTCGCCAGACAATGATGACTGCCTGTCGCGTCGTTTTTTTGGTTCTTGTTCTCAATGTCCCCGCTTGCCCAATGCATCATTTCACTTTTCCTTGTGATGATTAAGTCCCGGATCTTGGACTCTAGGGTCAACCAAAAGTGTCCAGGGCGCGAAACTCTCGCAACTCCCTCTGAGTCATGGCCAGAAACAGAAACGGCAACAGAATCGGAATCAGAATCGAAAACAGAAACAGAAACAACCTTTGAGCACGGGGAACATGATATATGAATGAGTTGTTAAATGTTACAGCAATGCTCAGTGAGATAGTATAAAAAAAGGGATCTTAAGGTACTTCAAATAAAAGTTTGCAAATAAGATTAGTAAGATGTTGGGTCTATGAGAAATGGTGTATACTCCTTAAGTGCACTACAATAACATTATAATACTGTTCTTTGTTTGTATTTAAAGAATACTTCTTAAGTACATTGTAAAATATTATAATCCTTGGTTTCTGTATTGGAATTACTTTAATCCGATGCTATTTGTATGCTGCTCGCTGTTTTAACCGAAGCACGTTGTCAGGCAACAAGTAGTTTTGTTTATATTCGAAATATTTAATTACTTTCGGCGACTGTTTATCATTAAGAATACCCGCTTACTCATGCGAGTTTCTGATTCAGCCAGAAAGAGACGGCAATGGTGCACCGAAAGAGACGGCGATAGTGTGAGTCTGAGTGCGGCAGGTGCCAGGACACTTAAATGGCGATAAGACGGCGCTGAATCATCCGCAACAAAGAGAGTGGGGATCTCAACTTGACCTTCAACTTGGCGAATCTCGACTTTGACGTGTCGAGTCATACGGAAACAACAAAAGCTCCCAAGACAGCCTGCACTTTGAGGTCGCCTTCAACCCAAACATCGGGTGAGTATAGTGTGTGATGAGGTAGATGGATCAGGGCTCTCCTCGAGTGATTCATAAAGAGCATGCGCAGCGGCAATAACAACAAACGAAATGTTTCATAAACAAATTGCGCGCCAGTAAAACACTTGGGAAAATGCAAAGTGCGCGGGCGCAAAAGTCTCAAAAGGGAGCTATTGATGAATAAGTACACAACGATTTTTTTTGTATTGTTAAATTGATTAGATAGTATTCATGGCTACAGTATGTCAATGGATATTACTGAAATGGTGGTAAGAACGATTTGGTTAAAAATAAAAGATCTGTTTTGTTATAATAATCAAAAGATATTTTTTCCTGTGTAGAAAGGAAATGAGGAAGTGTAGGCGTGGGTTCCCTGTAAAATGATTAAGTGCCTTATAATTTCGCATTTCTCATGCAAACAACAACAAAAAGAACCCGAAGTCGCATCGCAAATTTCAAATACGAAATTCCTGTGCGAAGATTTTCAGTTTATTTTGCTTGGTTGGTTTTTGCATTTTATAAATAGCCGGCTGACGAATATTGAAATTATGTGCACGGGGGCCAACAAAAATGTCACCTCGGGATTTTTGTTGTTTCTGTTATTTCATTTTTGTTTTTTGTCTGCCAACGGATTTTCGATTACTCATTAGCCAAAGGATTCGAAAAAGTTCTCTTCTCGAGTGCCCTATATCTTTCTGTCTGTCTCAGCCTATAACTTTTTTTTGGTTTTACAATATTAGAACCTAGTTTTAACCGATCATGACTTTTTTGATATTTTAAAACATGATAACCTTCTGTTTTTTTAACCGCAACTGTTGGTATATATTTGAACATATGCATTCATAGTTTTATCTAATCAGCTGTCCAACTGTATGTATGTTATATAGAATGTGGCTATCACCAAATGTTCTCGAGGGCCTCCGTTCCCAGTTTACTTAGCTGCTTCTGCGACTGTGTGTGCACAACCCGTACTCGTACCCTCAAATGTACCCAGTAAACGTAACCCGTAACCGTATATATGCTCCATTGTAGATTAAGTTAGTTTGCCAAAGAGGCCTCCTCCGTTGCTGGCAGATAAAAGTTGATGGCTTGATAACTTGATAACTTGGCGCACAAATAATATGTGGGTACAGTCAGTACAGACATCGCGGCGATAACTTGACAAATTGATTAGGCCCCGCAGCAGATACTCGTTAGGAAGGATGTGGAAAGAGCGAGAAAGCTCCAAGATATATGGGACCTCCATAAATGAACACCTTGGCGGTTTCGAATTTAAACATTGCTATTTATTTTCCTTAGTATCTTGTACTCTTGGCCTTATTTAGATTTGTTTATACTGGCCTTGTTGGATTATATACGAACTTTTCTGTTTTTCTTTCAAAATCTTCTAAAATGTCAGGTGCCTTGAAGAAATGCTTTTAGTTTTGACTCTTTTGTTTAAACGTTCTTGGTTGAAGGACAACAAATGGTTTTATTTCATAACAGTTCCTATTATTAAGATGTTTCTTTTTAATTGCTTCCTTTAGCTGTTTTCATGGTTTAAAAATTCCTGTAGATCCCAAATAAATCTTTGTAGTGACTAATTGACAAAATAAAACGGTTTAATTTAAGATGTATAAGCGCAAATTATTAGATTCTTTTAACTTCTTGGCTGTTTTCATGTTTTAAAAATCCCTGTAGATCCCAAAAAACCTTTGTAGTGACCAATAGACCAAATACTACCGTTCAATTTCCTGACAATTGGGGCTTTGATTGCTTTCTAGGCCAAGTGGCACGGCTTAGTTTATCGTTCATGTTAATGACGCAGCATAATGACATTAGCATTATCCGACAACTACAACCAACAACAACAACAATTGGGGCCTCGAACTCTGTGTCGCCTAATGAGCCTCTGCCGCAGCTCTGCCGGCGTTGAGCTCATTTCAAGCTTTGCTTCAAAATAGCGGTGCTTCCTCTTTTACTCCACCCCCTCCCTCACACAAAGTGCTGTTATAATGAATGGAAAACGAAAAGCAACGCAACAATGAGAATTCATAAGTTGTACGGAATAAGAAGAAGAAGAAGCAGCAGACGGGGGTAAGCATATATTCAGGCGAAATAAAACAATAATAATAGGCATAAGGTGACGACGGCAAACCAAAAACGAATGCGCAAAAGGCAGGGGAAAACACTCACACAAACAGAGAAGGCGAAATCATGACTCATGCACTCAGTACAAAAAAATACATATACTTTTCCCTGCTTCTTCTTCTTCACCGCCGCCACCTCCTTCTGCTTCTTCTTTGCCGTCTCCCCCACCCACCGTTACTTCGTGCCTGAGTACTAATGTGTTTTTCGCGCGGGTGTGAGTGAGCGAGAGAGCAGGAGAGGTAGAGCATTTATAAAAATAATACTTGAGCATGGATAAAAGAAATGAGGTGAAGAAAAAAATTTGGGAACACTAAAAATATATTAAAATAAATATTTTTTTTTTGGGTAAATAATGTAATATCTTGACGACTTATCATTTTTTAAAAATGTAGATTTAATATTTACAAAACTTCCTTATAATAATAATTATCATATATTTAATATTTTCTCTTTTTTTTGGTAAATATGTAATATCTTGACGACTTAATCATTTTTTAAAATGTAGATTTAAATATTTACAAAACTTCCTTTAATAAGTACCATAATTAACATATAACATGCTGAATAATTTTCTCTCTGTGTGGTGGCAAGAAGAAAAGCGAATCGAGAATTTTTGATCTGACAGATGCAAACAAAATGATGAGAGGGGTGAGTAAGAAGAGGCAGCGATACTGAGCAGCTGTTGCTCCCCCGCACCTGACATCCGCAACAACAACAACAACAATAAACAGCACCAACAGTCGAGGCCACACGCACAAGGATAACCCACTAAAAGAAAAACGAAACGATGACTCATAAACAGGAACCGAAATGTTTACAAAAATAGAACATATGCCAAAACGAAACAGCGCCCGAGAGAAAGAGAGGGGTGAAAAGTGCCGTTGGCGGCGCAATAAATAGCAACAATAAGAAGCCAACGGAAAAATCGATGCGGCTGTACCGTTCACCCATCCATCCATTCACCAACCGCCCACCCACCACCCACTCTCTTGCCGTCTCGCTCTCTGTGTTCCACATTGCATTGTGAACGAGCAACAAAACGGAATGGCGATGAGTCATGCCGGCGCACAGTGGTGGCCAAAAATACATTAACAGTCGGGCAGCGCAGGAAGCGAGTCGAGGACAACCCTTATCAGAAAGGACGTTTGCGGTTGGTTGGTTAGCTTACGTAGCCAGCATCGTTGTTGTTGCTGCAATCTGCATAAAGTTTCCATTACCCGGGAAAACTTGTAACCCGTGTGCACCGTCGAAAACAAAATAGCTATAATTCGCAGTTACACTATCAAATTTTTACTGAGTTGACTTTATGATAAAATTTTATCTCAGAAGAACGACCTTCAGAAAGCCCTTGTTTGTATTTGTTCTAAAGTTTATGGTTCTGCCTTATTTTTATTTTATAAGGTGTTGTAAGATAGTATTTTACAATCATAGTAATGAACTCTCAAAGTTAAGCATTAAAAATATAACATTTTTTTTAACCATATCCTTTGTCATTCACTTTGATTTTTTCAGTGTGGCCAAAGTCGCAACACAGTAACGGGCACAAGGGGCAGCAATAGCAACAACAACGCGACGACGACGCTGCTGCCGCCATGCTGTCTGCCAACGCCAACACGCAACAGCAACAACAATGTGGCGACGAACGAAGGAGACGGCAGGAACGAAGGAGGCACGGCAAAGAGCGAATGGATAAGCGTAGGAGCAGCAAAAACAACAACTTCAGGAGGAGGAAGGAGCATTGCTCCTTATCCCCACACACACACACCCCAATTGTTTCTATGAGTGCGAGGGAGTGGGATAGCTGGATTCCACAAAGTGGGAAACTTTGATTTGAGTTTCGCTTTGAAATCTCGTAATCCTTACAACTTTTTAAAATTTATAGATCCTTATTAGCTTAGAACTATAAATAACCATATTATTCCTTTAAGGCTGAAACAGTGATTTTCTATAGTAAAATTAATTGAATTTCATGGGATTATCTAGAATCCCGCTAACATATAATACAACCTCTATTTTGTCTTAATGTTTCCTATGTGACTCCAGTTTTTTATAATTCGATAATATTTAATTTATCTTGTTCAAAATAAATAAATCATTCAATATATCTTGTTTTATTTGATTTATGGAACCCAAATCCAGGAATCACTCATATCTATCTAAAATGGGGTCAATGCATTAAAATAAAGCATCTACTTCGAAAACCAAATCCCATACAATCCACTTCTGTGTAGAACAGCAATACACTTCTTAGAGACACCTAGTTTGGAGGTCGTCGATCGTCAGTCGCTCTTACCGCCCACTCGGCTTTTCTCGCGCTTGTTTTAAATGAAATATTGGCACTACTTAAGCCACAGACGCTACAAAAAACATTAATAATACGGAGAAACAAAAGCAGCACTAAGAACGACAAAGCTCGTGCACACGTGCCAGCCATTTGCTTGGAAAAAAAAAAAATTCAAACAAAAATACTTGATGAACAGCTTTGGACATAGAAAATGGAAAAATGCGATTGACGTCAGCATTATATTCCACGGCTACAGCTCTCTCCGGCCACCTCGTGCCCCTTTTCCGTTTGGGTACATATTATTATTTTCATTTAAAATTAACAATTTGTGTAGTTTGCTTGGTTGTGTGGGAAAAGCGCTGAGGGCAGCACAAAACGCCAAGAGCACACGAAAGCCCCCCCAAAAAAAAGGGGCAAACAAAAAGTCAATAACGAATTTTCCACACAGACCAGAGGAAAGGGAAGTGGAAGCCAGACTAAAACAGTTATGCAAAATCCACAAATGACCCACTGAAAAGCCCGCCGCCAGGCATCCAATAACAAGTCACGTTTAGCAATTGCCAATCGCGAATCGCCTAAGATGATGACTAAGCGTAACTCGGATTCTCAGACTCGATTCGGAGAGTCCAAGCTTCCACGGAAATCCATAATGTTTTTCAATAATACACTTGGCCAGCCTAATCTCCAGTAAATATTTGGAAAAGTTCTCCATAATCAAGACGAAATTATCAATGAGACGGAAGCGTTCGTCATCTTCTTGGTATTTTTTTGTGAAATAACATTTTCTTATCTTTGGTTTAATAACTTTTAGTTTTTATGATCTTTATAAAGTCTAATGTCCCTATACACAAACTGCACTCTAAGTTAAGAACCTTAATATCAAAATATTTCGATAATCCCAAAACTTTTTTAGACTGAATGATATATTTTTTCCATATCGATAGGATTTAAGATCCTATGGTAATAATGGTGTAAAGATGATTATAATTCTTTTTTCAACGAAACTCACCTATAAAGTCGTAGGCCTCCTGGAAGTACTGCTTGATGTTCTGATGGGGCGTATCGCTGGCAGGTATTTGCATGTACTTGAGACCCTGCAGATGGCTCTCATTGGGACTTTGGCAGGTAACGTTCAGCACACAGTTAGCGCCCACGCTGCTGGGATCGTCGGCATCGCGGCCATTGCCCAGCAATAGATGCGGGAACACGGGCGAGGCGGGATGTGTTTCTATATCTGCAAGATACATGCGGATCGGATCATTAGTTTTTATGAGTAAATAATGGAAAAGTTCTATCTGCCCCAAACGGCGTACAAAAAGTGCGCCCATTGTCGGGGGATCTCTGTTTCTGTATCGCGGTGGAAGTTTGCCAATTCGCGATGTCATGCAACAAAAGAGTCTGGCAAATGATCATTGTGATGGGGATGGGTAGGTAGTAGTAGTTGTAGTAGTGATGGCCTGGCCCTGTTTTCTGTATCTATTGTTGTATACAACGTCTAAATTTTGCTACAACAAATTGTTTATTTTTTTTCTCCCCTCCTCCGGGCGTTTTCGTTTCGATTGGATTCGTCTGCTGGGGCCTCTGTTGCTGTTGCATGAGTCATGCCACACACAGAGGCATAGTAGTCTCAGTTCAGTTGGGTTCAGTTTTATTGGCAGTGGGCGAAGTCGAAGGTGGGGGAGGGACCCGGGCGGTCAGCGGGCCGAGGGGTGGCTTCACGTTGCCTCATGGCCGTCCCCGAGTTCGTAGCACTCTCAATGAGCCGCGCAATTGTTTTTTCTTCCCTCTCTATGTGTATCTATAATTGTGCACCGTCTAACTACACTCCGAAAAACGAGCCATCGTCTTTGAAGACCAACAAAAACCACCCTAAAACTCTATAAAAGTCAATCCTTATATCGAGATTCTAAACTTTTTGAAAAACTGCTTTATAAATGGCCTAACCTTTCTGGAAACTGTTAGCTATTCAATATAAAAGTTAAAACTTGGTAACCTTAAATGGGCATTACCATGGTATAATATATTTTCCAAATTTCTTTTCCAAGTGTAATGTTTAGATTGAAGTGCGGTTCCAGGGACCAGCATATGCCCTGCGGTTTTGGCCATAGACACCCCGCCCCATTAGTTCCCCCAGCCCCTGGTTCATCGATTATTTGTCATTGGGTTGCGTGTTAATTGATAGCACTCAGAGCCATGGCAACTCAACTTCGTGTATTTCGTTTATATTTATTCTTTTTTTTTGGGCCGACTGCACTTTGTGGGTCACACGGAAATCACTTGCATTAGTCATCGACAACACGTTGGAACTTTACACGTAAAGATGATTGTCATTGTGGCATTTACGCAAGTACCTTCTGATAGCGCCACATACATATATAAATAGTAGTATATTCAGAATGCAATTAACAGATTTCATAAATATTTCCAGAGTGACTCAGTTGAAGTGTTTTGATAAACAATAATCGCCAGAGTCTAGTAATATATACAGCAAGGGATTGGGGTTGACAAACCCCCGTAAAGCAATCGATCGCTAATTAGTTGCCAAGGGTATTTCCAATTTCACAAAAATATTATTGTTTTTAGGGAGTTTCCTTTGTTATGACACTGAACCTATTGGTGATTGTTTATTGTGACCTATTGTGTGAGTCATTATAATTAATTTGCTTATTCATTTGTTTATTCAAAATACGAAATATTATTTTGAATGATTGCTTTCTTCATATTGTCTTAAAAATGGTTAGATCTTTATAAGAAACCTATAAATACCAAATATCTCTATGAGAAACCGCTAACCAAGGTATTGTGGTTATCTATCACATTATAAATTCAAATAAGATTGTTTTTTAGTGCCTAATCAATCACTTTAGTATGAGATTAAAGTTCAGATTAAGACTAATGTATTTTTAATAGTTCCATCTATAAATTGCTGATGCATTAGTAATCCCAATAATAGATGTGCGTAATATATAGAAATATACTGAAACCCAAGGAAACATCACGATGCGATCACACCTTTGTCAGGTGAAAAAGGTGGATGAGATAGGCTGAGGGTTACCCCACTCAGACCCGAGATTTAGTACGATTCCCAACGCGAGTGAGTAACTGAGTAATATGCAAAAGTTTGACATTGAAAATTTCACTGTATCACAGTCTTTGTTGCTACCTTTGTTATTATTGTTTTGCATGTGTTTCGCTGCTTCTCGCATACTTTTCATACATACATATATACATATGTACGTACGCTCGATTTCGTAATGTGCAAAAATACGAGTTAAAGGTGCGAGCGAGAGGGGAACTATCAATCGAGCGATTTATCTCACAGCACGTGCCGAAGCAAAAACAACACTGTTTGTTTTTAATGTTAAAGCAGAGCTCACAAGTGTGGGAAAGAGAAGGGGCTGAAATGACGGAAAGATTGTATGACAATCTGAGACAATTTATCGCCATGTTGTACTATCAAAACCCGGAATTCGGGGGAGGGAGAGGGGCAGGGAACTAAGGCCGAGTAGGAAATGAAATGCAATGATAAGCACAAACAGCATAGACATGCAAATATGCAAAACGAACAATCGAGAGATTGGTCGATCGGTTAAAGATATAGTGCTTCCTATCAGAACTTTCTGTATAATTTTACCACAAGAGTAAGTGGCCAACTTTGGTATGCAAGCTCCCATGAATCATTTCAACTCATCAGGAAATAAACATTTCCGTTTCTGTGATGAAATTAAAAGAAATGACATTTAATCACATAGTTCCTAACATAGTCAAGTGGTTACAAATACTACTTCCATTGAAAAAATTATGCAGATTTACCTCTTATCAATGAGTTTAGAACGAAATGAGTAATTCATCTATGATTCTTACTTTTTCTTTTAGTTTAGTTTTCTTCAAAATATAATAGCACGCATTCCATTTGGATTCAAGCTAAGCGGGTTCATCAAAAACATCATCTATTAATTTTTTGATCTTTCAGATCTCTTACAATTTTAAAGATACAAAGATCTAAGTTTGTATGCGAAATATTACCCTATGGTTGCTTGTATCCCAAAGTTTATCACAATCAACGACATTTGGCCAATTATAAGCCCCTGACTCTTTCTTTCCGCCAAACCATTTCTAACTGAGTCACCGACCGTTTGTGAAACCCGTCTTCGGGTCGCATACCTTTCGGTGGGTTCCCCATTTCGCAGCTTTCACTCACCGTAGACCGCCGGACTGGAGCAGCTGCGGGTTAGCGCCGGCGTCCGTCCGCCGCCGTTCATTGCCGTGGAAGATGACGTCGTGGATGTCACCTCGTCACATGCCAGATTCTCCCTGGACCGCTTGTTGGGATAGTCCTTTTGATTGGCTGCAAAGAAAAGCACAAAACCAAAAGATACGCATTAATACGGTGATTTAAAACCCGATCATAATTGGCGGTTAGCGATTTGCTTAATTTTAAAACCAATGATGTCAGACGCAGTCTGTGTGTATGGACCACAGTGCGAAAAACTTGTCGCGCCAGGTCCCCGTTCAAATAAACCGCAAAAATATTTCGTTTCGATTTGCCGCCTGCCAAAACTGACGTAAGACATTTATTTTGGCTCTAGAGTTCGCATTTTTTTTTTGACTGATTACGGCGAATGCAAAGCCAAAGTTTTCCACATTTGCTCGCTATTCACAAGCCGCTTATCACAATGAGCAGGCAGAATTAGAAACGCTTTGTGAGCTCGCCCTATACCAATTGATAGTATTTTATAGTAAAACACGAGCAACATCATTCTATGAAACCATAAAACGGCAAGTTGGGACTCGTTTAAGGGGATGATAAAGTATTCTGAGGTCATAGGAACTAAGATTTTTAGGGTTTCAAAATAAATCATATGCCATTTAAAAATAATACGCCATTCTGGTGTAATCAAAAAATAAGAAGAAATAAAAAATAATATAATTGCATATAAATTACTAGCTATTAGAATCTTTAAAAACTTGAATAATTATTATATTTTAATTAGGATTAATGTATTCCACAAAACTTTGACTTTAAGCCAGCCCTTTTGATTAAAAACAACTTTTGGACTCCTATCAACTAAAATAAGATAAGATAAGGAATGCTTCGTTTGTATTATGTTTTCAAAGTGGTATTAGGAGGTTGGACTGGACTGACTTGACTTATCAGCTCTACGCATAGTGTCTTTTTATGCTGGAAAGGAAAACAACTTCCAGTGAACTACTGGGGTACGAAATTGCTGTTATCAGCCAAGCGGCCTCAAAAGCCAAAAAGCAACAGCTACAAAAAAATACAACCAACTTTTCACCGCGGCAGGAAACGTTGGTTCAGATTTTTCGCTGTTGTTGTTTGCGGCTAGTAAAACAAGAAAAATTGCATGCCAATAGTGCATTGCAACCAGCCAGGGGCGTCTCAAGTCTGGTGTGTGTGGGTTTCAAAAGGGGGGCTTGCGGTGGGGAAAAGAAGTAGAGTGTAAGAGAGTAGAAAATAGGGAAGTGCTAATTAGTGTACAGTGGCTTGTTTATTTATAAAAACTAGTTATCAACCAGGTTTTTGTTTTCTGTTATGATTAACTTTTAAAAACGTTTGGCAAATCTGGAAGGTATTGTTTTGGCTTATTTATTTGTTGGCAAAATTATGTGTTTACTGTCACTTTTAGCACTAACAAATGTGTAAATGTTAAAGCTTTTAAAATGTATTGTTTTTAATGGGTAATCCGTGAGAATTTACTGTGAATTTTCATGTTGATAGCATTTACTATCAGATCTAGTCTATTTATGGATTTTCTGAATGAGATTAAATAGCTTGAGACTCATAGTTTAGTTTAGATCATTAGGGAATTTGATTGGATTGGACTATTTTAAAAGTTTTATACTACATTTTCTGAGCTTCAGAAGACTCCCCTTTTGGTGCGCCCCTGGCCCCCTGCAACTATCTCTTCCTGCTCTTCGTCTCTCTCCCTCTAAACTTCAGTTTGAAGTTGTTGCTGCGGCTGTTGCTTTTTCTCCTCCTGCTCCCCCTTTTCGCCCTCCTTCGCCCTACTCGTGTTGTTGTAGCTGGTAATGTGTGTTGCTGTTGTTGTGCCGATGAATTCGTACTCGAAAGGTCGTTTCAAAGCGGGTTTTTCAGCGTTGCCAGGCCGCTTGAGAAACCTGCTTTGCTTTACATTTTTTCTGGTGTTTTTTGTTATTTGTACTCGAGTATTTTGTTGGAGTCTCTGTTTTTTTTTATTTAACCAGCCAACAGAAACGAATCGAAACGCTTCTTTTGCTTTTATTTTTGAAAGACACGCGAATTGTGAGTCACGTATGGAGCGAAAAAAAGTAACTGACTCTGTGTCTCTGATCTCTCTCGAGTTCGTTTCTTTTTTATTTGGTTTTTTTTTGCCTTTGCTGTTGTAGAAATGAAATGGAGACGCTTACGTGTGTTCGCCCCCTCTCTTTCGCGCCCCTGCAAAAGTAAACAGCATGCCAAGCGGTAAAAATCGAGAGAGGCGGAGAGGGAGAGAGAGGCAGATTAATTTGCTCTCCCCACCATCCCTCCCTCTCCGCACTTGATTGGTTTAAGTGTAATCTTAAATTGTATGATTTTTCTTATTGCTTATTTTTTTTTTTGTATACTCACCACCAATGCGATTGTTGTTGTTCGTATTTTGGATTGGCATAAATAACAGAAGACACGGCGCTTCTCGCTTTATCCGCATTTTCATTTCACTTATATGACTCACGCTGTTGCCGTCTCCGTCGCACTCACAGCGGCCGTTGTTGCTGTTGTTGTTGCGTGCTGTTGACGTTGCCGTTGTAGCTTTGTTGTTGTTGCCGCTGCTGTTGTTGTTATTGCTGCTCTGCGTTTCTCGATTCACACACATATGCAGGCGCTCGCACTAACACACACACATGGGGCCTTTGGTTGTTTTAAAATTGATATATTTTTTTTTTTTTGCTGCTGCCCGTATAATCTATATGATTTAAGTATGATTTTCGGTAGGAGGGCTTTATTAGATAATCCCCGAGCCACTTGTTGAGCCACTTGCCGTTATAATGTGTGTTGCAACCAAAAAATCGGGGGCCCAGAAATCTAGTTTTATTTCCACTTGTAGCGCGCACACTTTTCGTCTTTTCGTTAATTCATTAATCAGAAAACGCGCGGGTTGTAGTTTTTCTCGTTTATTTCTTCTCTGGTAGATCAACTATTTATAGTTCAATTAACAGTTTACTCTGCTTCTGCTTCCTCTTCAACCAACGCACAAGTCCCGTTTTTGGGTAAAAAGTATATCCAAAATTTAAGGTTTTTTTTTGCCAGAAAATATATTGTACTATTTTCCAGTGATATATTTCCTTAGGTTTTCGCGGGGGTTAGGTCTTTTTTTCGAACTGGTTGCACTAAGGTGTTTCGGGACAACCGTTCGAAGCGAAATTCAAAATACGAATGAATGAACGGTGAATGCTCGGTGGCGGATGATTATTTTTTTTCATAACAAAACAGAAAAACGTAAGTGTCGGCAAAACGTAAGCCAACGTAAGTGTTAGTGAAAAAGGGAGACAGCCTCAGCGTAAGTGTCAGTAAAAAAGGGAGATGCAAGATCTGCTCTCTGAGCGAACAAATTTGATAAAGAATAGTGTGGCCCCTGGCTGGCACCGTTGGTGTTTTGGGTGTTTTTCAACACTGACGAACTGCGCGGGCTGCGAAGCGAAATTCAAAATACGAATGAACGGGCAAAACAAATTTGATAACCGAATTTGATAAAGAAACGAATAGTGTGACCGCTGGCTGTTTTCCCTGAAAACGGCACCGTTGGTGCGAGCAGATGGGTATTTATCAACACTGAAGACTGCGCGGGCTTGTTTTTATTTGACATTTTGAATTTTATTAAACGAACTATGTAAGGATTTTTTAAGTTTCTTGGTTAAGATAGATAGTCAGATAGGCTAAGAGTTTCACTAGTCGAAAAATCATATTTTTTGTAGTAGTTAGTTAAAGTGCATTCTGGGTCAGTTAAAAGATATAAATAATTGCTATAAATATTCGAATACTTCGAAATTTGCTCAATCTATGTTAATTTTGCCCTTTTCTAATGCGTCGTGCAACGCATATTCTCTCAAATTAATTTAATCAAAACGAAAAATCGAAACCACTTTAGAAATGTAAATGTATCACATATATTAAATGTAAAACAATCATTGCGCGAAAATGGGTGCAATAATTTTAAGCCCAATGAACAAATGTTATGTAAAGATCTCAACAAATTTAATTTTAGTTGCAGGCTTTTTTATTTTTTATCTTAAAAATTACAATAAATTTTTTTTTTTTAGCATGTTCTGATTTAAGTTTTACTTTTATTTTAAGAAAATGTTACAAAATGAATTTTAAGCATTTAATAAATTTTAAGACTTTAAATATATATTGGAATATGGAATTGAATACGAATGCATATTGTTTTAGTTTTATGTTGGACTGAAATATTATTAATCTTGTAAAATAAATAAAAACAAACATTTTTTGCAATGGGAAAAAACCTTTTTTTCTATATATAATAAGTCAATTATTATTTTTATGTATTAATATTATAATTTGAATTTCCAGGCGATTTATTTGTTATGGTATTTATAGTGGTATTTTGTAAAAAATGAAATAGTATTTTATAGTATATTTTTGAGACCAAATTGGTATTTCTCGTTTGTCCGGCGCGGTCACGCTGGCCAAGTAGCTGGGGAGGAAGAGTCCTCAATCGAGAGTCGTCGGTGATCGAGCGATGTCCCATGTCCCTCCGATCGGGACCTCCAGGTTTCAACTGTTCTGCGGATTTCCCTGTTGTGGTATTGCTTTTGCACATAATGGGCAACAGCTTGGATTATGCGTCCTTTTTAAGGCGTTTTTTTTTGGGTTTTCTTCCATTTTTAATTATTAAATTCCTTACCGTAATAGTTTGCTTTGCTTTATTTTATTTTTTATGGCTGCTGCTGCTGATTTTGTAAATTCAAGTTCAGCTGGCCCTGAATAAGCAGCAGCTGGCGCTGAATATCTTCCAGCTGCTGGGACCCCTTATGGCACCCAGGAGCCCAGCCAGCTTCACGGGATCGTTGATGGCGAGTGCCATAAATCTTTTAGCACATCTCCGCATGCTGGATGGCTCAGACAGCGCCCTTTCTCATGAACTCCGCTTTCTCGCCCCCTGGTTTTGGATCGCCCACACATCGCTATCATCCTATTATCCCTTCATGCAAGAGGTTCCTCAACGCTCTGCTCCCTATGCCGGAACTGGCTACCTTGCGGCGGACAGCCGGAGTCCAATGAAGCAGGTGGCATCATAAGGGTCATAATTGGATCGCACCAGCAACGCCGGGATACCCAGGATTGATCCGCGTACCTCTTCAGGGCCTTCGAGTAAGATTCTACCCACTCATCCTACACTGGTGGAAACAAAACAATTTTAAAGTCAAGAATTAAAAATAAATAGGCCCAAAATTTTATGTAAATTTTATAATTTGTTATTACCATTTTTGCAACTGTATGTAACATATGTAACATAGACACCGTATTAATAATATTGTTTAATGAATTACAAATTAAGAAAAACCATACTCCATACTCTATACCATAAGATTTATTTGTTTAAGGCTGAAATATTAATAACAGATGATGAGATTTTTGTGTAAGGGATGTTTGATTGTTTGTTGCAACCAACTAATTGCAATATTCATGTGTACGAGCGTAAAACATTATATATATTAAATATCATAATTATGTCTTAGATAAAGTACATTTCAAATACTTTGTTAAAGTCTCTACAAAATAATTCAATAAACTGTATTTGGTTTTCTTTGTATAACCTACCCCACTCATCCCAATCCTTCCGTGAAATCCCAGAATACGTGTATTGTTTATTTTTTATTTATTATTTATTTATTCATTTTGTTGCTGGCTGCTGCGGCGGCTGATTTTGAAGGTTCAGCTGCCCCTGTATAGCCAGCAGCTAACGCTGGATTTCTTCCAGCTGCTGGGACTCCTGGTGGGCGCCCTTATGGCACCCAGGAGCCCAGCCAGCTTCACCGGTCGTCTATTGCAAGACGAACAAACTCTTTTAAAGTGTCGGTTCCGCCCACTCCGGCCGCCATGAGGATGCGGGCCATCTCGCGCTCCCGCTCGAGCACCCTTGCCATCTCCCGACGGAGGAGTGGCCGATCCACCGTGGCCTCCCCTCCGGCACCCTGTCCACCACCACCGCCGCGACGGCCCGCCGGACCTCGCGACCGGCTCTATTCGGTTGGGGAGCTGGAGCTGCAGCTGGTGGCGCCACGGGAAGTGGGGCGGCCGGTGCAGGGTGTCGGTGTCGGGCAGGTGCCCGTAGGCGTAGGGTTGTTGTTGGTACCGGCGTGGGTAATATCCGTAATATCCCTTCCACGCTGCATCTAGAAAATATGATATATGTAAATTAAATTAATAAAACAACACAATAAACACACTCACTCTTAAACTTTTTAAAAACTTTTAAGCCGAAAAAAAGCGAAAAGGCGCGCCTCAGAATGCTGGATTGCAATGTTGGAAAACGTTTAGTGGTGGGTAGATATCGAATATTCGAATATCGAATAAGAATATAGGATAATCAAATTGAATATTCTTATATTATTTATACTATAAATAAATGCAAATAAATGCAATGTTATTAAGTTTAGGTACATTTTTATTTATTATTATTTTGCTTATTTCATTTGGTCATTTGGATTTATAGATTTTAATTTATTACCATTATTTACATTTTACATAATATTGTATCGAATAATTTTACACCCACGATCGGGTTCCTCACTTCGTTTTGGCACACTGTTTTTTTATAAAAACAAGAAACGAAATGGAAAAGCCAACTTTGTAAGTTTTTTAAGTTAAGTTTCGGTTCGGTCGTCGGGTCGGGAATATAAAACGTGTCTGGTTATGTGAAAGCTAAGCTTGATATGTAAATTTGTTGTGTTCCTTCCCGCATACATATTTCGGGGTTTGTTTTTTTTTTATCAAATGCAGGCAAATTTGCATAACCAAGTTTATGAAAATTTTGGTGATTAAAAGTGAAGTGAAAGAATATATTAGTAGTTAAGTAGTAGTAGTTAAGTGCACCCAAGGAGCGCCTTGTTTAGAATAACTAAAATTGTTATACCCGTTACTCGTACAAGATCGTACACAGTAAAAAAGGGAAAAAAAAACTGTCGGCATAAGTGATTTTTTGAAGGTGACAACTTGTGTGAAAAAACTGAGTAACGGGTATCAGATAGTCGATGGGAAATCGACTATAGCGTTTATCTCTTATTTTTTATTGTAGTTTTATTTTTAATTGTACTTTTTAGTATTTATTATTAACTTTTATATTTTTTAACTTCTTTTTTCAGAAATTGCGTTGTTGAAAACTGCGAAGGCCATAAACAAGCCTTCCGTTTTCCAGAACGATTTAAAAATATTTGGCTTGCCAATTTAAGAAAAGATAGAGTACGGCTAGATCGTTGGTCTGTATAAGGCACTTTAAGCCAGAATGTTTCTTAGGCAATAAGCTGAGGAAATGTAGTGTTCCTACTGAAGAGCTAGGGTTTGACCCTATATATCTCTCAGTTGATCACTTTGAGCAGAATAAAATTAGTAATGATGGGGTTGGGTATGGAAGGGAAATTATTTCGAAAGATTCTGATGCTGAAATAATGCGAAATGAAAGTCACGAAGCTGAAATATTGCATTATGACGAAAATGAAGCTAAAATAATGCGAAATGAAAGTCACGAAGCTGAAATATTGCATTATGACGAAAATGAAGCTGAAATAATGCGAAATGAAAGTCACGAAGCTGAAATATTGCATTATGACGAAAATGAAAATATTGAAAAGGATA